GAATTTTGGCCTCAGAACAAGGCAAATCAATTGCAAAGTGAAAATGCAAATGTTGCAGAAGATAGCAATTTGAACACTAAGGAGATCCTTGAGAATATGTCTGAGGTCTTTGAATATTCATACAAAAATTAGTCATAATTAAGCCACAAAAGTTCACAAAGCCAGTGGAAGTGGTACTGAACTGCTCAGTTCACACACAAAGCCTTGTCTACATAGGATTCAGCAGAGTTGAACGAATGAACCATAAAGGAAGATAAAACTCTCAAGGACGCTGATCCAAAGAGAGTAATTTGAATATTATAGGAGATCCTTGAGAAAATGTCTGAAGTCTTTGAATATTTTTGCACAAATTAAAGTCATGATTAAGCCACAAAGGTCAAACCGACAAGTAATATCTCATCGTACTTCAAAAAACAGCAATCCACATGGCTCACTCAAAGAATTGAAAGAATTGTTGCAGAGTTGTAAAGATAAGCAGAATTTTGCTAACTATGAGACAGAGCAAACTTAATAAACTGTGGTTTTATTTGTAAATATAGAATCCCAATTCAACTGTTTTGCTTATTTACTATAAAATTTAGTTTCCGATTTTAAGTACATGCAAATAAATGCAAAATGTTTAGATGGTTGGTTAATAAAAATATATATTTATTTAAAATATTTTGCTTAATCTTAACACATACAAAGGCTTTCACTTGGTTTGGTTTGATGTTTTTGTTTTTTGCAAGTATTTGACTCTAGGGCCTTGGTCTTTTGAGTGTGGGTCCACTGTTCTATTTATCTTTCTCACATATTACATTGCCTACAGTTTCCAGCTTTAGTTTCTTGAAAGCAAAGCGAGAGCTGATAAATACTTGCAAAGTAAATTTTTTTGATTTGAATGTTTTTTCCCCACGTTTTCCAATCATCACACCTGCAACTAATTTGACATATTTTCTCAATGACTTGCCTTCATTCATTCTTTCAAAATATTCAACTTAGTTTTTATTGGAACAGCTTTCTTTTTGCACTCACATACTCATGTTTTATTAATTTAATAATCCATTTCTTAAGCACAGTTATTATATAAGGTTCAAGAATCAGTCTCGAGAATAAACACAACAGACTCTCCCAAGGACCGTAACTCACCTGGTGGGAGCCAAAGTGGGCAGGTGCATGCCAACCGCTGACCATGAACATTCATTGTGTGGTGGCATTCCTCAGCATGTCATACACAGAGAATGACAATCAACTGTTACTGATGAGTCAGGTAAGCGGAGGCTGGTTAAAAAAACTTTCCACAATAATGTCACCTACAGTGCCCTAGTAGTGAGTGGGACCAGTTATCCACAGATGGCAAAGTTTCCTGACTAAAACATCTGGAAACACCTGGCAACCATGGTGTCTGGAAAGACCATGGTGAAACCAAATTCTAGCCCCAGCTCTCCTTCTCCCTAATAAATATTTATAAAGACTGGCAGAACACCACGTTTTGCCCTACTCTCAAGGTTACATTCTTACTTTTTATGTCCATTTAAGATGTATATCTCACACAGGCATGAATACATATATATATAGTGATGGATCTTAAATTCTAAATCAGAGTCAGCCCAATAAATACCCGCTAATAAAAATATTTATAGATAGGAATGATTAACTTATTTTTTGTAAATATGAGAAACAACAAACAATATCCTTAGAAAAGGAGAAAATTCCTTACATGGGAATAGTAGGTGCTTAATAAATATATGAGGAATGAAATACAGACTGAAATATTTCTGCCAGTGCATATTGTCTCTTCATTCGAACATTAGTGATATTTGCGCACAACGTAGAAATGCACCAAGGTTAAACTGGTTCCTCCAAATGAATGCGGTGTAGGAACCGAAGTGTGACTTAGGTGATTCCCAGAAGCACTATGTGGAAGCAGTGATCTGTAAAGCACTCACATAAAGGTTACAGAAAATGGCGTGGCATAAATGAAATCACTGCAAGGTTTATATCCTCCAGTGAAGACAGAAATAAAGAGCTTGGAAATAGTTTAACTGGAGTTTTGAGTTCTAGAAGCAAACTTTGAAGAGATTCAAGTCTCCTTTATGTCATTAAAGAAATCAAGTTAAAGCAATTCAGAGCAATTCACATACTTGCTTGATATTTGACATATGCCTTTCTGCAGTAATAAAAAACAAAAAGAGGACACAACAGCACCAGAACTAGGATCTACAATCTTATCCATGGTTAAAACTCAGAAATTACAATAACAATTCCATGCAGTTGGATTCTTCTCAAAGAAGACTTTATATTAACAAATGGCTGAACGAGAACACCTTTTTCAATCAAGCATGTCCTATGGTTTTCTTTCTCAGAAAAAAAAAAAAATCAGTTGGCCGGTGTGTAGGTGCATAATGGCAACCCAAATATTTACATAAAAGATTAAAGGGAAAATGACTCAAAACACCACAACTATCCAGCACTCAGGTTTCTAGTGGCAGTGTATGGTGGATGAAGGTCAGAGAACGTAGCTGGCTGATAGTGCTACTTTTGGTCACATCTTTGGTCCCGAGTTTCAATCCCTTTGTACAAATAAGCACGCAAACGTAAAGGCTTTGCTGGAATCCTGTTTTATTTTAGCTACTCCGATCAAACTTCAAAATTGTTCCTATTGTGAAAGGCTCCTGGCTCCACTTACTTTTCTCACTTACAGGTACCTGACCAAGTGTGTGTAAATGTAAAGGTTTTTAGATCTAAATAGGAAGGTGGAAAGTTAATCCCTGACAATTTAGGATTTAGTGGGTGTGGCAATCCGGCAAGACCAGGGAAGTAACTACTGTTTGGTTTGGATGATAGATACACTTGGCTATCATTAAAAGAGCATATAATTATAGGCTAAATGTAGACTTAAAATTTTAACAGATTTATCTAAACTTTCAAAATTTGTACCGTTGGATGGGATTATCTAAAATTATCTGATGGCAGGTGTTGTATCAGTATTCAAAACATTGAACTAATATGAAATCAATACCCTTAAAAACTCCAATATCACCTTGCTCCTCAGATTTTAACACTTACACCTTGAAAGGGGGCTTTAATCGCATCCATTCTCAAGAAGTCAAAGGAATTATTATATACATAGTTCAGGCTTTTGTCTAAATATTATGAAGACAGACAAGATAGCTCTCCCCTCTCTCTGCGTGGGAAGTCCCCCTCCCTCCATTAAATAAACAAACATTATTTAGTGTTTCTCAAAATACATCTAGGGACGCTGCTCCTGTCTTCTGGGAGATTTCCCATCACAGACAAACCAACTTAAAGAAAAGAAGAAGACAAACCCGACACAACTCCACCCAGCTGAAGAAAGGTCCAAAATTATTGACACGTAAATGGTGCTTTTTCTAACCCAAAGCACCTTACCGCAGACTCTCCTCAGGGATGTTATTGTTGCTAGACCCTTCCAGCGGCTCCCCGGGGACTGAGAGGTTCAAAACGCCGCGTTTGGCAACCGGGTACTGCAGAGGATGGGGGTGGAGGGACCTGGGACCGTCACCCGACCCCGCTGGGAAGAGTGACGGTAGAGAGGGGCGTCGGATTCCGGGAGGGCCAGGGCAAGGCTGAGAATGACATTATCGAACACTTCCTGCACAGCATTGGTTCCTTCCCCCAAAGTGCTCTATCTGGCCCTATTCCCTCACCAAAGTGAGAACCGAGGAAAAAACAAAGATCCTCAGGACATCCATATCTCTCTCTAGCCAAGCGGTAGGGGTGGGAGAGGGGGTGCCTGAAATCAGCGACTTTAGGATGTGAACAAAGTATTCCAGGAAACTTTGAAGTTTTGTTATTTGTAGCACGAGGGGTGGGGGACAAAAGAGGAGGAAAACTTTCTTTAAAAAATCTTTTATGTTTTTGGTCTGCAGCAACACGTCTGCTGAACGTTGCGTTTCTTTCGCTTTGCAGCAGGCAACACGCCCGGGCGCCACCTGCGCGTCCCGCGGAGCGAGCGAGATCGAGTGCTGGCCGGCGCCCGGTCTCCCGACGCCACCGCAAAGGGCAGTGCGAATGACATACTGCAAACCTTCCCCCCGGCGTCCCCTTCCACGCATCACACGCACACATTCCAACTAATTATTTTTTTCGGAAGCTGCAACTGCAGTAGGGCTAGCTCCCGGCGGGCAGGCAGAGACTGCAGTGGAGAGGAAGCGGCGCGATGCTGCCACCCAGGATCCTCCTCTGGCCGGTGAGGCCCGGGACTACCTGGCGGCGCGGCGGGCGCAGCGCGCAGAGTCCAGAGAGTCCTGCGGCGGCCACGTCCCAGCCCACAGCGCCAGCCTGCCACCCTTGCGGAGCGCACAGCCCACTCCCTCCAACCTGCCGCGCCGTCGCCCCCGCCGGCCCACCCTCCGCCTCCGGCCGAACCCCGCATCCCCGCCCGCCAGTCTGTCCAGGGCCGGGCCGGGCGGGCCGCGCTCACGCAGTTGGCGCAGGCGGTCCTACGCTGGCGGCGCAGCGCCTGCCCGTCCGCCCGCCCCCTGCGCTCTCCCCGCCCCCTCCCTCCCTCGCAGGGGCCGACCGAATGTGGCCCGCGAGAGAAAATGGCGGCGGCGGCGGGGAATCGCGCCTCGTCGTCGGGATTCCCGGGCGCCGGGGCGGCGAGCCCCGAGGCGGGCGGT